CCTCGTAATCGGTGAGATATTAGCATCCATGAAGAGTAATTGCCAGGCAACGGACAGTTTGGCTTATTACTTTAGGAAGTGTTTTGAGCAAACAAGACTCATTAAGTGATTAGTTCATTAAGCTTGTACTTTGCTTGTATGTTTCATTTCCTAGATTGTTTTAATGATGAAAAACACTGTAGCAATTATCTCAACTTTTGTTCTCAGTTCATTTCATATGTACACGTTGTATCAATTAAAGATGTTTTGAACTTTTATTTCAGTTATCTATGTTAGCAAACTCCCGCCTATATGGAAGAGAAATGTTTATCCATTCTCTCAGGCGCTATATCATTAATAAATAATGTAAAATCACTACTGTCCTGTGAACTATATCAATATTGCAAAATTCTTTTCTTGTCAATACCAAAATCAAACACAAAAGCGTGAAAAGGATGTTTACAGCACACTGACGCCCAGCGTGGGACGGCAAACTGTCGTTTGTTTTAGTATGAAAAAAGAATTCGAAAAATGACGAGCACCTAAATGATTTTCACATGAGGCTTTAGCTATCATTAGAAGAAGGGGATGGGACTAGGTTCAGTTGCTAAGTTCATTAAATGCAGAAATCATAACAAAAATTGACGATAGCCGTATCGATTCAGACAGAATGCAATCGGGTAAAGTAGAGCTCATCTGCAAATCGTCGTCAGTAAATATAACATTTTCTCTTGGGCATTCAATTAAAAGGCCCAATGAGAAAGGAGATTACACAAGGAACAAACCTACTAGGGTTCAAGAGCTTCAGCTGTTGGCCATTTTTTGCTTCCCTCGCAATCCACAAGGAACAGGCGCGCAACCAGAAATTTCAGAGGGCAGGGGTCCAAGACACAAAAAGGGCACTAATTAAACTTCATTAAAGGTCCACCGGGGCATTTGTTTAGGTACACCGAAAATATGAGCAGTTAGTAAATCTGTAAATATTGTACGCCAGACAAGGGAAACTGATCAATAGAGAAAAGTTGTGGTGTACGGTTTATTTTGTGGTGAGGTGTGATGAAGTTTAGGAGGCCCGAAGGAGGGGGGAAATGGAAAAAACAATGCCTCTTGCGAGCGAAGCGAGCAAAAATTTCGCCACCACACCCTTGCAAATAGCTTAAATTCACTAATTCGTTCAAGATGTTTTACTTTTTAATTGTAATTTTGTTACTTTTAATAAATTCCATTTAAAAACGGAATTCATTGCTTTGTGAGGCTCCCTAGACCTCGAGGCCCTAGGGCAATTTGCCCCTTTGTCCCCCTCTCGGCGACCCTGCTGTCATCTCCTTTTCCCAGCGCCAGCTCACTTTTGAATAGCAACCCATCATCTTCCATATCCGAAGACATTTTGCGCTTTAAAATATTATTATTGAATTCTTTGCTTCGCACTACAGATTGGAGGAGGTTGAACAGTTCCACGAGCCTTGCCTTCAGCTGGTTTCTGTCTCCAAGTCTTGCCTTCAGCTGATTTGTAATACTGACAAGGAACGGAACAGCTGAACATCAACTTTTTGTGCCATATTTACTGCTTGCTAATACCAGTCCGAAAATATTTCTCTGCATTCGCTCGTTTCATGCAAAGGTCTTCTATGACCCTGTCAACTATGTGACAGGCTTGAAAAATGTTTTGGTTTTTATTCTTGTAACTTTTCACCAGAGGTCGTAGAGGCTCTATCCCGTTCAAAATCTTGTGCCTTTATTTTGGTTTTTGAGTCCCAGAACCATTCTTCTTCAAAGCCAGTGCGTAGCGCATCATAAAACACGCTGTAGAGTTGGGGCTTGAAGATAGACTCTATTACTGCAACATGATGACGTTCGACCCAACAAGTGCGTGAAAGTTTGACTAAATCATTTATCTGTATTCCTGCGAGGTCCATTACATCTCCGGAGTGTATCATTTACTGTATGACCAACCATTTTAGCGTAATAGTTAAAATATTCAAGCAATTTTCCAGGAAAAAGGGCACTTTTCCCCTTTTGAGAAAAAGGGCAGGGGTCTGGACCCCCAGGACCCCCCCCGTAGTTGCGCGCCTGAGGAATGTCTACCGATGAATGAGATACAGTGTTTGAATAGGGGCATTTGAGAAATCGTTTGAGACTGTATTCTAGGGAGGTAAATAGGAAATTGAGGTTAACAATAAATATAAATATAAGTTGGGCGTTAGAGGCTAAATGGCTCAGTGGTTTGAATCGCGGACGTCAGAGCCAAGGGTCTTGGGTTCGAAACTCTTAACCATAGAGTACCGAAGTCGTCATTAAAAATCTATTTTTAGAATTTCTTAAATTTAGCCGCATAATCTGAAAACACGACATAAAATAACTCTCGATGTGCAAAATTAGCTAGATATGTTCCAAATTGGGCGAGATATGGCCAATGAAAGATTTCAAGTTTGTTAACGGATTTCTATTCTGGCCTGGTTCATAAAGTTATGAACCAAGACCAAATTACAGAGGTTTGATGGGACAGGATCCTGTGCTAATGTAGCTATATCTCAGCAAATTCGTAATACCTTTAACTGATTTTGTATATTTAGAGGTACTTCATGATGTTCTTTCAGGTTCTGGGATCAAAATTCAGAAACTCTAAAAATAAATTTTTATGACGTTATCACTTCGGTACTCTATAGCGAGAGGAGCCGCCAGTCTTCTGAAATTCCAATTTCATTACAATTATTACTCAAGGGCTGAAGTTGGAAGTTAGGTCATTCGGGTTTAGGTTTACAAATATTTGACACAGCTTGTCGTGACTTCGAATCACACCAAAAAGACAAAACATTGTTTTAAAGGTAATTTATGGAAAAACTAAACTGAATAATGAATATTGATAGCAATCGCAAACAAGTAGAAATACACAGCTTGTCTATTGGTTTTTCAAAGCATACCAAAGTCCTGATCGTCCTCAGCCTTATTAAACTGCTCGAAAGTGTTTCTTTTCAAGATGGGGTGTAAATGATTCGTTTCGACGATTAAGCACCTATATCCTGTTTCATTTCCAAAGATAAATAGAAAGAGGAGCTCTTTTTGACTTATTAGGGTCCTGTTTCGTTTTTTCTCATGTTACGGTTTTTTCGTTTCTGAGATGTACCTTTTTATCCTTCAGTATTTTAGAAGCATTTAAGAAACCTTAAGCGCTGAAAGAAGCAAAAATCGAGAAACTGTGTGCTAATCCTGTGCCTAGTTTCTTATAGGGGCCGTGAAAGCGGGGAGGGGGCTGAGGGGGCTCTGACCCTCCCAATTATTTCCAAAAATCTACCAAAACCATACAAAAGTCACAATGCTCTTTGTTTTTTGCATGTTTAGCCCCCCAAAACGTTTTAACCCCCTCAATCCGTAATATGCTCCGTAGTCCTTCGTTTCTTATAAAATTAAATTTAGACTCCTATCTAAGGCACGCGACCCAGCAACAATGTTAAAGTGGCCTTCCTGTTTCCTTGCTCTTTCCCTACTTCGTTGTCGCTTTTTTAGAGGTCATCCAAATCTTTGTTTAGGATATTTTTCAATATTCGTTGAATAGCAATCAGATTGTCATCATAACAAGCTAGTTTGTCATAGAAATTCGTTTTTCAAAGTTTTCAGATAATTTTACATCAATCAAAAAATGTAAATATTTTTCTAGTTTTAGAAAAATAGCAGCTGTGCCTTGAGAAGACTGAAACTAGATTGAAAAGACAGTAGCTTAACAAGAAGTGAATGGGTAGTGTAACCGCTACTTGTCTCGAAATTGTACCTGCAGGGGCTGCTTTTTCTTTTTCATGGGCCTACAAAGTTTTGTTGTGCTGTTCTTTATTGTGTTGCGTCTTGCAACGATCGAGGCCGGGTCTCGGAGACTGGGGATAGCTTGTAAACAAAGGCGCCAAATTGTACGAAAGCCATGAAACACCTGCAAGCGTAACTCAGTTGCACAACAAATAACTGATATATCACTAGGATAAAACAATAGGATTTCCAACAAAGGTGTACAAGATCTTCAAAATGTGATTTGCCCCTCGGGATTTACATCGAAACATTGCATTGAGATTTTAGGTTTTTAGTTAATTACGTAACAGATGATTCGTTGAAATGGAGAAGATACGAGGGCAATTCTCCTAACGGGGCACTATATAACCGATGACCCTCACCAAATAAAGACCTTAAGTGGCATGTCACGCCTATAACGTGACACTCCGGGGATAAAGTTAGATTCTATTAACGTTGTAAGGAAAATCTGCTAAACAAAGGGCTTAAGAAGGGAGCTTTGATATCGACGATGGTTAATGAAAATGACCAATGTCCACGTGATTACTATGATGATGAGCATTATTTGTGTTGATGATGATGTTGATTATGATGATGATGATGATGATGATGATGATGATGAAATTATGCCCATTTCAGTCACCTACCAAAAAGCAAGGTACATTTTACGCAACTCTTTACAGCCATAATCTATGGACGTCTTGCTGTAAATATCCACGAAAACATCCGCAAATCAACGAGCTGTTGTTGGAAAAGTGCAGTGCTCTGTGTGTGTTTCATATTTGAGCTAGATAATGATAGCTAATTTTGACGATAATTTCAGTGTGTCTGGCACATCCATGTGCTAGAGTCAGCTGGCATTCACCTGTTTGCGATAAGGAAGATAAAACTGATGCACAAAATAACATATGCAAAGACTGCGTTGGAGAAAACGTGGGAAGTTTGCTATGAATTCGGCACAAATTAATAAATCACTCAGGTCTTTCGGCAGACACCAAGACTAAATAGCAGGCATTGGCTTCATATGTTAGTGGGAGGGCGAAGTTAGAAAACATTGGGTAGATGCACCTGTTTTGCCCTGGTCATATGAATCAAACAACGGCATAAAATACATCATCCTACATTACTGGATAAAAAAATGTTTGGCCAAACACCGTTGCAATGTTTCACCATGTTTTATGAATTTTTACGAAATTATATTTCTGATGAAATTTCTGCTTTTTGAGTCAAGTCGAATAAAAGACAGGTTGCAATAAATTCTTTGCGTTGATTCTAAAATAAATAAAGTCATATTGATCATCTGAAAATACATACATACATCTTTAAAGTATACAGTTCAACATCAGAGAACACAAAAAATCGCCCTGTAACTTTTTCTGTGATACTTTTAACGAATTTTGATATTTAACCAGAAAAATTCTGCAACAAAGATATGGCGGCAGTGCGGGAATGGGGCAGTAACAGTGCCAAATATATGGACGACTTACAAAATCAGCTAGTCCTCAGTTCAACTGACCTAATCAATAGATTGTTGTATTGATCAGGTCAGTTGAACACATACAGTGGTAGTCGATTTAAGAAGATAAAACTGCCTGGCTTCTTTCAATGGATAAAGGATAACAGCGTTTGATATCTGGAGAGTTGTGAGATCATAATTATGACAAATACATTGAGATTGGTATTTTGCAAAGAATGTAGAGTTAATTTACTTTTGGTGTATTTCAGTTGAAGTTGGAACCTCAGGGAGGTACCTCAGAATCGGAAAGAAGCAGAAAAGGAGCTACATTCATAAGAGTTAGAAGCGCTTGCGCGAATGTGGCTTACTAAATCTGTCACCGGCAAGAAGGCATGTTTAAGGCAAAGTTATCATGATAATAGCAGATGGATGTTTTTTCTCACAGATTACAGCTGACCAGTAACAATTACATCGTTTGTTAAAGCCAATTGCTTCTTCCCTGACACGAGGTTAACAAAACAGTGCTTCCCTCCTGCCTATTTTCTTTTCTGTAGAGGTACATAACTGCTTGACTGATAACATAACGAACAGTAGATCCTCTGTATCAGTAGATAAGCTTCTTGACGAGTCTGCCTACGTAAACCCAGACAGCAACAACACTATTTGGATAGGCATGTATATAAACCGCCAAGGCAAACTCAACATCCGGATCTTCGCAATTATGCACTCCGGTACTGTAAACTGCGTCTAGGACCGGTTGTGTGTCTGTGTACTGCATTTGTAATGGGAACCCGGTAAGCTACGAAAACAAATGGAGCCCTGTTACAAGCAATGAAGATTGAAAAGGGCAAATCTGATTGGGCCAAATAAGCTGGGAACGAATGTGATTTATTCTGGCGGTGCTCTTCCGATTAGGATTCATGATTAGGCTTTTTTGATTAGGATTAATGATTCGGTGTACACGATTATATTTTATGATCAGGTTTCATGATTAGGTTTTAACGATTAGGATTCATGATGTGGTTTTCGTGATAAGCATTCACGATTCAGTGTTTATACTTAGGTTACCGCGATTAGGATTCATGATTAGGATTCATGATTAGGATTCATGATTAGGATTCATGATTAGGTTTTCATGATTAGGTTTTCATGATTAGGTTTTTATGATTAGGTTTTCATGATAAGGTTTTAACGATTAGGATTCATGATGTGGTTTTCGTGATAAGCATTCACGATTCAGTGTTTATACTTAGGTTACCGTGATTAGGATTCATGATTAGGATTCATGATTAGGATTCATGATTAGGATTCATGATTAGGATTCATGATTAGGATTCATGATTAGGTTTTCATGATTAGGTTTTCATGATTAGGTTCTCATGATTAGGTTTTCATGATTAGGTTTCTAGACTAGGCACTTATGTTTAGTTTGTTTTCGTGATTAGGTTTTCATGATGAGGCTTTTACTCTTCGCGGCATAAAGCACTTTCACTTCATATTATAGTGTACCATACCACATTTTGCCATCTAATATTTGTTATTGAGTATAGTCACTCAGAATTTCACATTAATTTACGTAACTGACGTCAAGAAGAAGTATAAGCTTATTAGCTCCTGACTTTCGTATTGAACGAGTTTACAAACTTTATGAAGATTAATATAGGCCTTAATAAATCGCTGCAGGTGAGCTTTCACAGCGCGCGTCACCTATGGATGCAAATAAGCTTCGAAATAATGAGATAATTGAAAAATTTACACACAAATTTGAGAGAGCCTAGAATCCGCTATCGCTAATCTGGTTTACTGAAAGACAGTTTATGCATGACGCAGAGGGACACTTGTGCTTCACAGTTCCATTACAAAATATGTAATGAGGCTCTTGTTGTCCTTGAAAATGGTTTATAAAAAAACGACGAGTCTACGAGCAGTTGAGATCAGGAGAATGGGCACGATAAACGACGATGGGGAAGACCATTGAAAAACACTAGGCGCTTTCCCTATGAATCATCTCAAGTAACTTGAATACCATGTAATAACTTCATATGCCAAGGTCATATGATTACGTCATATGCAAAATAAAATACACAATTTCGGGGTTCACGACGCCACATTGGATTCTACTGTTCCTTGATGACGCAAAGTGGGGCAAAATTTTGAAAGTTTATGGTGCGTGGTGGCCATGAAACGATTAATTTTGGTATGAAAACTCTTAGTGATATTAGAGATTTGTAACTTTAAAAAGGATTAATGAATGGGAAGTGCAGCTGGACCTTGCCTTGGCGGGATGCAAGTTTTAAAATATTTGTGAAACAGGGAGACATTGTCGTTTAGTGCTACTCACCCCTAATAAGCTAATGGTGTCGCGAACTCCAAAATGGTGTAGCCATACCGTACACAAACACCATCAATAATATACAAGAACATACATTTTGCACATACAAGGACATACAAGAACATTCATACAAAAAGCGATGGTGGAGTATAGGCAGAAAAGATGCTCTATTAAAGCAATAGTAATGTTGCGATTTACTTTCCATGATCAAAATACAACATGTGTTGGATGAAGGGAAGATGGAAGTTCACAGAGGTTGCGGAGGAGCTGCAGCCCATAAACACTGGGAGAAATTTTACAAAATTTAGGGCTGCGTTTTTATGCGAAGAGGGACAACGCACAAGATGGTTGAGAAAATTACTGTAAAAATTCTATTAAGCCCTCCCCTGGGGGGGGGGGGAGGGGGGGGGTTAATTTTTAAGTCCTAAAGAAAGGGCTTAATAAAGAGGGAGGCTTAATAGAGCTTTTACGGTACGTATTCGCACTCCCTTCCTCTACCCTCCCTCATAAGTCGGATGCCCTACAATCAGTGCCTTAGCAGATGAAACGTGTAGAGGACACCTAAATGTCGAAAAAGCTGTAGGTTCGACCGCTAGTATTGCATCATCACTCTAACGCCATTAAGAAGATAACAACGTGCCACTTTACTTACCTTGTATGACGAAATGACCTGGTCAAGCTCTGAACGATGGTCTTCAATTGTTTGACCCATTGCAAATTTTTGTTCAATGCTAGAAATGCAAATGTGCAAAGTTTATTGAAACAATCATAGCTTTATCAACATAGATTCAACACACTTGAAAATCTGTTCAAAAGCAAAAAAGGGCAAAAAATGACTGGTTCTTTTAATAGTAGGACAAGTCACTGATAATTCAACTGGGAAACGTCGTGTTTCTACTTGGTATCCATACTTGGTATCTCCTTAGTTCGGCCTACAAAAACAGAACTGTTTGTCGGGCTCATTACCTCGCTCTATGAAAAAGTAGAAACGAAGGACAGATAGGGAAAATGAGACATATTATGTCCAGAAAAAGGGACCGGTTAATGCTTATTTTCGATGGCTTATTCCTTATTTTCGATCAGTAAAGCCATTCCTAAAGTTTAAAAGTGTAACCTTTTCAAAAATAAGTCAATGTATTTCATACGTCAGAAGAACAAAAGCGGAAGATAGCTCTATACAAAAGAAATCTTTAGATCAAAAATCGCAGGAACATATGCGTCAAAATGATATTTGATCTCTTATCTTTCACGCAAAAGAAATCAAATGATCAAGTAAGCCTTGGTTCAAATAAGTCTCTCTCCATCGAAATCTTACACTGCATCAGTTTACAGCAAGTAGTAAAATAGCAGAACCAGTAATTTTCAACTCTTTTTCTGCCTAAAGTGGATATTGGCTCAAAATGCATTGATTTAAGGTCACTAACTGTGAAAATTATTTATCATTTCAAATATTAATCAAAAATTAGGTTTTAGTTTATAAACAGAGGAGATAGCCGTCAGAATTATCTGATCAAAACCAATTCCTTTCGAGCAGTTTTTAGGTCAAGTACGTCCGAATAATCGCATGGCGAATGTCTTGCAAACAAATTCCGAGACGAATTATCATTCGAGTGGATGGCCTGAAAGATATGTTGCAGATGTCAACTATTTTGACACAGTTATAATAGGAGAAAAGACAGGCAGTCAGCTGCTTTCTCGCAAGGGGGCAAACGCAGAAGTTTGCTTAAGCCCGCTGGTTTTGATCATGCCTTTTATTTGCACGTTTTATGTTACTTGTATGCAGTTCTTTATTAAGTAGTAAATTCATTTCTGAAACTGTTTGAAATGCAATAGAACTTTTAGAAGAAAACTTTGGCAGCCCCTTTATAATAAAAAATCTACAAACATTTAGAGTAGTTTTCTCAAAGACATTAAGCTTGTATCAAACCAAAATGCGAAAACATGCAGTCACGACAGAAAACGGCACACGTAACCTGCAATATTATCGATCACAGGCCAGCATATAGAGACAGCTGTCCCAAACGCACATCTAGAGAAATTCTTTGTTCAAAGGTAACACTTACTTAGTTAAGAGATTGCGGAATGCTTGAGTGCAGTATCTAAAACAGAAATGTTATTTTATAGTCAGCTTTAAAGCCATGAAAACAACGTTGCCTGACTTACTGATGGCAATGACTGATTGACTCTGATTGACTGATTGGCATGGGCTACTGATTCTTGGTCACTGATAGATTTATTGATCTGGATCATTGATTGATTGGAGTGATGATTGAATGGAATGAATGATTGACTGATTGCTCCTGGTCACTGATTGTAATGATTGATCTGGGTCACTAATTGACAGGAGTGATAGTGGTGAATGTAGTGACGATTGGCTGCGATGAACAACTGGATTTGATTTCTGATTGACTGATTGATGAAGACGATGTAATCAACGATTTTAGAACTGATAGATGGCTAGTGGGCAGCAGTGGATAAAAAGCTATAACCATAACTCGATGGCTATAACCCTTCTCAAAGTTTAAAACCTTTGTCTAATCGAATCACATGCACAGTTCCCTGTTTACAACACTACTGAATCAACATTAATATTTTTGGAAGCATTAATGTCAATTGCAAGAAAACTTTTTGAGTTAGGTTATGTCAAATCCTATGGTATGTGAAAACACAAATGTGTTTGAAATGCAATGAAGTGGCTTGTGCTCACCTGTTCCATCTTGTGACAAACCTTGGCCTCCACTCCATCAGTTTGTCTTTCAATAACCGTTCAAGCCTGAAATTAAAAACAATCAAAATTACATACATTATCCAATGTATGCTTCATACTTTGCTCGATGAAAATGCGAATTTCAAACTTGACACAAATTAAGTTATAATTTCAAAGACGAAATAAAATCAAGACTCAGTGTGCTTAAATCGGATTTCTAGAAAACTTAAATCTTCGGAGTAATCTACTTTGCTGATACAAAGATATTTCTAGACAAGAAGGTTAAGAAATTGAATCAAAAATCTAACTCACTTGTCTTGCAAATTGGTAAAATATTGTACGTCTGTTTCGTGGTAGTTTGGAGTCTCCATCTAAGTCAATCAAGACATACATGTATGAACATTCATGCATAAAAAAAAGCTTAGAGAGAATTACTTCTGTAAAAGAGCCCGAAGTGATTGGAAAAAGAGATTATTTTAGCTAGAGTCTTTAAGCACTGTGGTATTCTATGATTTTGATAATGTACGAATAAAAGGGGCAAATTAAAAGAAAATCAGGCCTAATAGAGCTAAAAGTCTATCTGTCTTGTACTTGGTGTAAAATATACGCAAATCTACTTTTCAATGTGGGTTACCAATAGACTTACAATAAAAATTAAACATTACCCAACCTTATAGAGACAGCACCACATTACCCAAATGGATAGAAGTTTTTAAGCTTTGATGTCATAGTATGTATAACATTTGCAGAAAAATGTACCTGTACACTGAAGAGACCAGGATTGGGGTAAGCTCTACTGAAAAAAGGTCGCCATGCTTTCACATTTGCCAAATTCATATCAAGTTTTGACGGGTGATCTTCTTTCTGAACATTAGCAAGTACCTATCAATAGAAGAAATGCAGATTTAAAAGGTATTCCTCATTGCAATCATTTAAAATTGACCGAGGTAATTGTCTATACAGCAAGCAGAGGATATGGAGGTATGACTCGTTAGCAAAATAACTTCGTAGTTATAAGAATCTTGTTAATATAGACGTTATGAGAGAATATGTTTTGCTTTCATCAGCTCGAACGTTTTATTAAGAAAGATTTTCATTCCCAAATGTCAGACTATGTTCTCACAGACTGGATCCTACTGTGAGTGAACCAAATCGTCTAGCCTGAGGATTATTGACCAAATCACAAATTGCAAACTATGAAACCTCGACTAATCCTGTTACATTCACCAGTAAATTCTGTAAAAGGATTTTTGAAATTTTTCAAAAAGATAGCTTTGAGGCTTCACCAAACAATAATTAAGCAGAATTAGTTCCAGGTGCAAAATATTTTGGTCAAGGCAATAGTCTGACAGAAACATGTGATCTTCTTTCTTAATGCAAAATGATGTTTGTAGAAGGTCCTAGCACTCAAGTTCCTTTGTTTTGTTTGATCAGTCAGTGATTGTGTGACGTAGTGTCTTTGCATGCTTGATGATTTAAAGTAAAATGGTTTGTGAGATATACAGTTAAAAAGACGACATATAAGTGTTTTGCAAACAGTAGGGTCAGAAGCAGTTACAAAATTCTGAGTTGGTTAACACAAATATGGTTACACAACACAAGTATCTTTTGGGTACGAATTAGAAACTTAGAACTAAACATTTTGTCGAAAATTTGCAGACACGTATTATATTTTGTACCTACGCCAGAATTTTCCAGATAATAAAAATAAGATTTCTGTCTAATGATTTTATGAAGGCTGGGTAATAAATTGGTGTCGTCAAAATCGAGCTAACTTTTAAGTGAGACAAATCATTTGATGAATGTGAATGGCATCTCGTGTGAAATCAGTGATCTGATGTCGACAAACTTTTCTGCCAAATTTAGAAAAAGGTGTTATTTGAAAGGCAAATGTGGTTACTTTGGAGAATGCAAAATTAAAACGTACATTTGAATCGTCTATCAAGCAACCAATGCTATGAAGAGGACACCGAACGTCATTAATCTCGTAACATTCCCCCGTGCTTGCATTCCAAAGTTGGTAGGCCATGCCTTCAAGAGACAGTACGTACGCTGTCGAGCCTTTGAAGAGAAAAACAGTATAAACATCAAATTTGTATTTTGATATTATTTCTAAACTAATGGGCAGACACAAACTGTAAAGTAAGCTATTAACTGAACCCATTTGTTACGAGGTCTACAGGGAGTTAAACAGATAAAAAGCAGATGAGTAAGAAAGAAAGTTGTTGAACAAGTGAAAAGCATTAGGGTGATTTTAAGAGGTACTTTTGGGATGATTCAACATAAAATCGACCAAAGTATCTCTTTGATATAGCCCGGGATATCTAATATAACCCGGAAGATCTCAAAGGATCATTAAAGGGCCGAGAAAGCATAAATGATACTGATGCAAACAATATACGGTCTGTGTCATTTAGAAAATCGCTATCGAAATTACTTGCATCTAAACTGTTGAGAAAAGTTCACATACTCGAGACATGAAGGAATTAATAATGCTTTTTAAATCCCGCCGATTAAAAGCATTGCGATTGGGAAATTATCTTCACTTTATAACCCACATCAGTACCTCAGCAATGTAATGAAAAACACAAAAAAGACCTCACCGAAAATTGCAGCGAAATAAAACTTTAAAAGCATTTTCACTACGGTTTGCCAATAAAGTAAACAGGGAAGAATAGTGGTTTAGGAACTACGGGGCCCTCGTTCTTCGCATTTTTAATTTTTTTCTTAGGTGTGCAAGGTTGCCAAGTTTGGCCGGTTTGGCCTCACGGATATTCAACTCTTCTCTCAGTTTCACGACGGGAGTTACTTTTCTCACGAATTTCTTCCTGGAACGGATGATTGTCAAATGATCGTCAAATGCGAATGATTGTCAAATGCGTTAATGTTTCAGTATTATACATTTTATTGCTTATTGCTTCGATTGTTTATTCTTACGTTTAAAAGCCTGTTCTATGTGTCTAGTTTTAAGCCATTTGAGCACTGCAAATCTACTGGAATTCGGAATTCTTCTGCCCCCAACCCTTGACCCCAGTTCCATTGTTTACTAGCTGCGCTCATAAAATCTTACAGGTATTATTTTCCAAAACTTGGCAACCTTAGGTGTGGGGTCCCTTCTGGCTAACATAAGCACGGAGCTTAGGGCAGTTGACCCCCCTAACCCCCCCCCCTAAAACCGCCACTGACAGGGAAATAGCTGTATCACTAACAAGAACAATTGGTTTATTTATTATGCTTCAACTCCTATTTGTGATAACTTGCTTTATTTTTAACAACATCATGGAACTTGTTGATTAAAAAAATAACTTTCGAGACCAACTGCCACACACAAGGTTATCGGCAAGCACAGAAAGCGACAACTCAAAACGATATTCCGTTCCATGTTTAATTGACGTTCTGTATTCTTTCGAGTGTAAACCGCGGCTTATAACTATTTTTTCGGTACGTTTGCTGCGGTTCATAATCAAGGGCGGATAATAAACGAAGGCGGCTTATAAATGAAGGCGGCTTATACACGAGTGCGGCCTACTTTATTATCCAAGTCAACAAACCATGACTGGGACCGGAAAAGATCAAAACCTGTTCTAAATGAAAAATGCCTTTGCATGACTCCTAGCTCAGGTTTTGTTATTCATCTCCATTACACGGTCGACAGTTTAAAACGAAGTCCGTTCTTTCTAAATTTTATGCATTTTACAAAATGAGTAGAAGGGAGGCGTATGATGTAAAGTTCAAAATGGAGGTTATTGCAGTCGCAGAGAAATGTTCAAATCGTGAAGCAGGAAGACAGTTCAAAATCGACGAGTCAATGGTACGCCGGTGGAGACAGAACAAAAGTAAGCTGGAATTGGCGTACCATCAACCAGGCCTAGCAAGTAAGAAGAAAAAGCTTGGAGTTGGGAGAAAGCCATGGCTGTCCACCATTGAAGATGATTTGATGGGAAAAATTGTGCATGAAAGAGAACAACAGCATCATGTGCCTTACAAACTCATTCAGGCATGGGCACAAGAAATGGCTCAAGATAATGGCATTACGGAGTTTCGAGCATCTCGGGGATGGCTGTGCAATTTCATGCGGCGACACAATCTAACAGTCAGGAGTCGAACAGCAAACGGACAATCCTTACCTGACTACAAAGATAAAGCTGAGAATTATGTTGAATTTAACAAAAAAGAGCAGGATTTGCTCAACCATGCACCTTCAATGATCAACGTGAGCGAAACGGGCATAAACGCCAATAAGGACTGACATGCCCTCTGCAACGACCGTTGGTCGGATGGGCATGCACAAAGTTGCAATATGAACCACAGGGCGTGAGTAGACCTGGACCTGCTACAAGTCTCTATCTCTCTATTTATTTTATTTGATTCTTTCATGATTTTTCAGATTACTGAAGAATTAGAGAAACAGATAGAGAGACTTGTAGCAAGTCCAGATAAATCCAGACTAGCAAAACAATGTGCCAAGCTCAGCTTGGCTGTCAAGGCAGATGGAACCAACATGAAGCATTACACTCTTTTTTTATAAGAACAATTATGCAAGAACACGAACCTCAAAATTGGTCAAAAGTTAAGAACAAATTAAAAACAAGTTGAGGCTGAGCTTCTACAACCTTTTTTCTCAAAATCGAGGATTTTTAGCCATATGTGGGTGCTTTTTCGGTGAATATTCAATACTGTCAGCAAATGAAGGTTGTCTGATTCACTTTGCTGGCAAATGAGTCCTATACACCACCCTAGAGCTAAAAAGCTAGTACTCGCATTGCTTACACCCTATAAAATTAAGAACAAATTAAGAACAATCCAGCCTCAGATTTTCGAAATAATTAAAAACAGTCAGCCTGAACTTAAATTTACTGGTTCTTATAAAAAGAGAGTGTATGTGGTGATCCAAGCCAAAAATGGCAACGAGAAAAAGCTGAAATCCATCGCGGGGTTATTGTTGCTGCATCAGCATGAGTGACGTTCTGACCGTGGACTGGATTGGCAGAAAGTTTCGCAGCCGCTTCATGTCTCCGTCATCAAATTATTCGAGGCTCCTTTTGTCAAACCATGTTTGAGTATACCACTAGAGGTAAAGAGGCACCTAGTCATTTACGGCAGATTTACGGAAGAAATACTTACTGGGCGATGTTGATGGTCCCCTGCTGGACGATGTTGTTGATTGAACTTTTAATGTCTACTTTTATTATGTAGCTTTTGAATATGTAGCAGGTTTTCAAGTTTAAGAACATGATTGCAGTTTACAATCAACGGCGGCTTACACATAAGGGAGGCTTATCATCGAAAAAATACCGTATATTTACAATATAATCCAATTCTATTTTAATTTTTCGACAAACGAGCCTGTCCTCTTTCTCGTCTCTCCCCTTTCCTCTTCCATTCTCCTTCGCAATTCCTTTCCCCGTTCTTCATCCTTTGACTTTCTGAGGCTCTGGCACCAAGGGTAGCCCGTCGCTAGGTATTGGGGGGGGGGGGGGGTTGCTTGCAAGTCTCATTTGCCGACAAAGTGAGTGAACCATTCTTTATTTGCCGACAAGTTTGGAAATTCGCCGACTTACATTTTCCCGACTTACATTTAACAGGAGCTTGATTGATAGCAGCTTCTGAGCAAGCTGACCAATTATGTTATCCTGTATAAATATAGATTATTATTATTATTATTCCTGACCGCCCCTAGATGGCAAAAACTCCTCGTTTTGGCAATGAAATTTTTTGCAATGGGGTGTCACACTGGCGACTTTTCGGGCTGGCGACTTCACTGAACCTGGGAACAATAGGTTTACGTTACCTGATTGTTGGTTACAATGAGGTTCCGAGCATTAGAAAATAAGTCAAAGAGGACATACTCTACCTTCAGGAATGCCATTTCCAAGAACAACCCAGGCCTTTTTGCCCATAGAGAGAAAAAAGTTGCACAACAAAACAGCATGCTCTTCTTCATCGCCTGCAAGCATGCTCAGAAATTGCTGGAAGAGAAACAGTTGTACCTGGACTTATTAACTGGCACCAACAACCAGGCAACAAGAATAGGACTGGGACTTCTTAGAAATACGAGATGGCGTAGTGATCAAGAGTGAAAGCAGAGCATATAATAAGTAGATTCATAAGTCGCGAATAGGTAACCATTTACGAGGGAATAATTCATAACAGATTTCATTCTTTGTGATATATAAATGTAATTTTTAAATAGCATTCATTATTTTATATTAGCCTTGAATTGTAATCAGTTTTATATATAATTCTTAGTTAAGTACATAATACTTTATAGACAAGACAAATTGTAATTAGGTTGAAGGCTATCGCGGCCTATGGACTGATATTTCATATATATGTTATATGTTATATTTTATAGATATATGTAATAAAAATTAGGTAATTCATCATGTACTTTTTCACAGAGCAAGTTTATTTTTCAAAGCAACAAAAATATGCAGAAGGGTTTTCTGGAATCAAATTTGAATCTTTGTACAACAGATGGTTCACAATTGACTCAAAATTTACATTTTTTTTTTAAACATAATTTAGTTAAGAAAACTATAGTTAACCGTTAATAGCTAGCATAAACTGGAAAAATGGACTGTTGTGTGCTAGTTCTTATTGTGTCAATGCTTAGTTGTCAAGTAGAAGCACACAAGGAAGGGCATGAGCACACTTTCTTTTCAGAAGTTTAAAAGCTAAAAATCGGGAGGAGAGATTGAAAAAACTTTACCTCTGAAGTAGTCCAGATGTCACATAAATCAGGGAACTGGACTGAATCTGGGATGTAAGGAATAAGGGAAACATATCTTGCCAGTATTCGCTGCAATTGAAAATGAATAGTATAAGGGAAAACAATAACAAAATATTGAAAAAATTCTACTAAAATTACTAGAGATAAACGACAGAGCTGTATTATTGTATGCAGAATTGAGACCTGGCGAGATCAATGGAAGCGTTGTCAAAGGGAGGTAGAAAAGGAACACAGTTAGGTGCTATTGTGAATATCGACGGCAAGTAGTTTGTTTGTAATGAAGGTTCAGATACATTTTCAAGTACAAATAGAACTGTTTTATGACAATAGGAAAACGCTGTCTCTAGTATATGTCAAAGGCAAAATTTGTCTGCCTCCAGTACATAAATCTTAAATCAAATTTCTAGCTAAATCAGCAAGGAATTGAAGGTGGCAATATGGCAATAACAATAAGATAAATGTAAATGGTGAGGGGGGGGGTGTGGGTGTTGGGTCTCAGCGTTTCATAAGAAAATTTCTGTAGAAGATCCTTTAAGTGCTTTTAGGAGTCAAATTAGATTTTCGCATGCTTTACGGAAGTAGGGTCGTGCAAAAACATTACATAGAATCGCTTATTCTGTTGTTAAGTATGAAATTCGAAACCCTAGATTTGGCAACTTTGAATTTGAACACGTTGACCATACTGCAACTCTTTGAACACTACTTTCGACATGCAGATCATTGAATGGAGTTTTACGTATACATGCTTCAAAATCCGGGAAGAACGCTTAAAAAATCATGAGCTAAACAATTTAAAAAACACGTAAGATACTTCTAGCAGAAAAATGGCCCGACAATTCAAGAAACTGCCTACCAGCCTGGACTTTAGTTTCTTACAAAAAATACCTGTAATATGTCCTCGATATTCCTAACGACCATAATTTAATAAGACCATAATTTCATACGACCATGATTTCATACGACTTTGATTTTGATGGAAAATATGCCAATCCTTGGTCAACTTTTTAAAAAAACGAAAAAGAAATACGCAGCAAAATGAAATTGAAATACAACAACATGTAAAACAGGGAACAACGGGAGAACACTGCGTCAACATTCGAGATCAGAATTTGATGCTGTTGACGTTTTTGTACAAAAAATGCCAATATGGTCGTGAATACCATCAGAACTTCTTTCAGCAAATAAATCAAATTTGT